TCTTGTATTAACTGTCTAATTTTTTATTTATTTATAAGCTTTTACTCCTTTCAAACATGATCTTTTAAATATAATTTCAATTTAAATTATTTAATTTTAATTAAATTACTTTTAAATTTTAATACACTATATCAAATTAAATATATACTTTTAGATAATTTAATTAAAAGATGGTGTATTATTAATTCAAATAATTCACTTCCTAATTTCTCTTCGATTTTCCAAGTTTTATTTCTTCATGGATTTATTATTATTTAATAAAATATAATATTTACTATTAATAATATATTTTTGCTTCGGGTTATTTTGTCTCCTCGTTAAATATAAATATGTTTCTAATCATGGTCCAAAATACGACAAGTATATATCGATCGTATAAGTAATATATCAAAGATAGTATTCATAGGGACTATATAAAGTAAAATAAATATTTAATGACTATTATTGATTAAAGAATAATTTCATATTGTAATATGTGTTAAGTATGAAAGCAAATAACATAAACTACTTTAAGGGAAATTTTATCGAACAATTTTGTGTATGGAAAAGATAAGGAATGATGTTGTGGATTTGTGAGGGTTATACTTCACCGAACCTTACAGTCATGTAATTAATTATTCTCTTGTTGCATATATACATTATTTAGTCAATCCACAAGTATATTCAAACTTAATCTCTTAGAGAAAGAGTCGAGGAACATATGTTGAACATCAATTCCTAGAGTATCCAACATATGAACATACATTAATGACTGAGGTTTAAGATTACTAATGGGCTAAGCTCCATTCTTAGATACATTTTCCACTAGGTATTTTGTTTTGGAGCTAGTTTCAAGGGTTATTTCTCAATACCCAATGGACCTTATATCAAGCAATGAGAGATCAATCCAAAACAAGCCTTAAGAATAAAAACATAATACAATAATGAATGAAATGCATTTATCATTAATAAGATAAAGATTACACAAGAGTTTAGTTGGTTACATCTAATCTCACAAAAATCGGGTCTAGTTGCTCAAATCTATGAAGTCAAAAATAAAATAGAGATGGAAGAGAAGATGAAAGAATCAAAGGAAAGATCCACACACAACACGATCCCAAGCACTAGGGATCCCTTCTACAGCTCCAAGGCTTCATCCTATGTGTGAATGAGGAGAAAATCTCAAAGTTTTGCCCTAAAACGAGTTAGGCAGCCAAGTTAGAGGACTCGCGCCCGATGTCATTTAGTTTCACATCGGACGCTAACGTGTTTTAGAAACTAATGCTCTTTGCCTTGAACCAATTAAGTCCAACACGAGTTTTCAAGCCTGGCACAAATGGCATTTCCAACTCCTTAATTCTTTTGATTCTAGCTTTGGCAAGTCTCTATCCCAAGTAGAGCTGTCAAAACGGGTAACCCGGCCCACCACAGGTTGATCATTTGGTGGGCCAACCCAACCCGGCTTATTTATTAGTGAGCTCAAAAAAGTTGAACTCGGCCCGACCCACCACGGGTTGGTGGGTTAAACGGGTTGGCTCACCTAATTTATAATTAAAAAATGATGCAGAATATACCTGATTTGCGCATGGTGGCTTGCGATGGCTCACGGTGCGCGTAGTGGCTAGCGACTCACAATGCGGCGCGGTGGCTTGCGGTGCCTCACAATGCGTGCGGTGGCTCGCGGTGCATGCGACGACTCGTGATACGCGCGGTGCGATGTGGTGGTAGTTATGCGGTGTGGTGCGGTGGCTTATGGTGTGGTGTGGTGGCAACTATGGTGGCTGGTGCGGAGCGGTGCGATGTAAGAGTGAGAAGGTCTGTTTGAGGGTGTGAGAGTGAGAGGATCTAAACTCTAAAGTGATTTCTGAAGTTCAAATGAAACCCTAATGGGCTGTATTGGCCCAATAACTATTCATTTTTTTATTACGGGTTGGTGGGTCAGTCCGGCTCACCACGGGTTCAAAATTAGCTCGTACTGAAATTTTTAATTTTTTTTTTTGCCCAACCTGGCTCGAACCCGTGGTGGGCCGAGTTGTCTCACCGGGATGAGCTCACTTTGACAGCTCTAATCCCAAGGATCCTCAATACCAACCACTTCTATAATCAATATATACCTATACAAAAAGGAGATGTATCATGATATTGTTAGATAATTTTCAAGTTAGCTATGTATGCACAAAAATTAGATCAAAAAAGGACAAAGAATGTGCAGAGTTGAATGAAAGAGTTGATATTACTCAAGAAAATGTAACCAAAAATAAGTAAATATGAGCCTTATCAATGGTGAATTATTAATTCAAATAATTTACTTTCTAATTTCTCCTCAATATATTTCCAAGTTTTTTTTTCTTCATGGTTTCATTATTATTTAATAAAATATAATATTTACTATTAATAATGAAAATTGAAAATATCTATCATTCTCTTTAATTTTTTTATTCACAAATTTTAATTAATTTAAAAATACTCATGTAATACGTGAAAAACTTGATAGTTTACTCATAACTATGATTTGTTAAAGTAAATGGTATATCCTTTTTTTTTCATATAATATATCAGTAAGGTAGTTAACTTACGTTTCATTATTATTGTTATTATTTTTTCTCTATCAAGGATTAAGTTATAAAAACGTTTTGATATTAACATTACAATATTATGAGTTTGTGATAGTCACGAGTAAGGAATAATTTAATTAGGTTCAATGCATCATTTCTTTCCTAAATTTTTTAAGAATTTAGTTAGGTCTCAAAATCCACTTTTTTAATTAACTTTTTTATCTTTTTTATATTTTGTAATTTAGTCTCTTGAGTCAAAAATTCGTGACATTTCACAAAAAACATTTTTTTTATATAATTATATCTAGACAAACATATCAATTTTTTATTTTATATCATCATCCATATATATCATCTTTTAATCTATACTTGTAAAAATTTCCTACTATTCTAGAATATTTATGATTAGGAAGATTAAAGAAATTTTAACAAGTAAGAATTAAACCCGATACACATGGATGATAACATGAAATGATAATATCATGTGATTGTATAGGTACGAGAATATTTTTTTTTTTGAAATATAACATATTGTAAATGAATTTTTAATTATAAAGATTAAATTACAAAATATAAAAAAGATGAATGACCTAATTAAAGATTTTTGGAAAGTTCAAATATCAAATGTTATATTAAATATTTAATTTTTTAATGTGATAAAATTATGTGTAGTGTAATTTATCTTTAAAACCCCAAATTAAAACAATAAATTAATCTTCTTAAATTATAAGATAGTGTACATTACACATTTTTTTTTTATTCTGTAGAAATTGTTGTCAAAACATAACACAGTTGAAAACAAATGAGAGAAAAGAGATCATGTAAGGAAATCAATCAAAATTATTTTAGAACTTTCTAGTTTTTATAGTTTAATTTATTTTAAACACAAGGTAGTTACATTTATCTTATATATATATACATATATATATATATATATATTTTTTTTTATTTATTTATTTATTTATTTATTTATTTATTGCAGAAACAAGGTAGGTTAGTCTTAATTTTATACTAAATTAAAGTATCAAGTAGTTTATCACTTGTGTGCTTTTTAATTAAGGATGTATTGAGACTCAATTCTCATCCGGAACATGAAATCGCAATTAGAGATAATACTTTATCTCTGTAAGATTTAACTTGATGAGTATGAAGTATTCTTTTTTATCCAAAAAAATAATAATTCTTAATGTATCAAATTTTATCTGGAGACACCATTGTATATTTCTACATGAATTTGGCCTTAGGAAAGTTTTAAAAATAATATTAACTTTAGGTACCTTACTTAATTCTTACTGTTTCAACATTACATATATACATGTTATAACTTTCATACAATAGTAAATTTTGTAAATAATAAAATTAGTTCGTATTTATATTAATGTGTTAATCGTACATATAATTTTGATTATGTCATAAATAAATATGAAAGCTAATGATGTATGATACGTTTAAGATGGAAAAAAAAAAAAAAAAAGATGAAGAAGAAGAAGAAGAAGAAAGAAACTGGTAAATAATGTCTATCTTAACGCGGATGATTCTAACTTTTTAACGGTTAAAGGTACAAGATGGGTTGGTGATGTTGGAATCTAATTCCCTATCTGTTTTGACAGGTTCCTGCTTTTTTTGCGCTCATTTTCATGCCAAAAGCTTACAACTTAATTTTTCGAAATTTTAGTTGTAAAGGCACTATTTGCAGCCTTAATCTGCGTGTACTCTTCTCTCTGTCTCTCTGTCTAATGTGTGAGGCCACCCATAAAGGAGAGAGAAATAATGGTAGAAACTACAAAGGTAGCCATGCACGTGCATGAGAAATACATATCACAAAAGAAGACGAGATTAGGACATGGTTAGCCCCATTGCATGACTAAATGCATCACAGTCATAAGGAGTCAAGTGGGCGTCAAAAAGCTAAGCAAGTCTAACATAATTAATATATTACTGATTTTCCAACATGCTTATAGAAAAAACTTTATTAAAAAAGACAAACTTATTTTAATGATTTTTACACTTCTAAAGAAATTTGTTTTTACTATCCATTATGAATTATTCTTGGTATATATATAAAAGCCAAGCATAGGTGGTTTTCCCACACAAAAACCGGAAAGGATAGGGTACTATGTACCACTTCCAAGTATGTGCCACATTTTGTGGGCTCATGGGCCACAATCATTTAAATTATGTAATGCTGAAATAGTCGGCACCATCATTAGCTTATTATTCATTTGACTTGATTTGCACTCACCAGTCATCATCCTCAACCATGCAGAAATTTCATAATCCATCGCATACAATACAATTATCATGCACATAATGTGTAATTATATAATTGCACAAGCGATCATGATCTTTAATTATATTCTCATACCATACCAATTTAATTTTAGGAAATAGATATAATTATGATTCAGAGGGAGAGGAGGAATTACATGCACACACAGTTATACAATTAAAGCAAGCCCATATGTATAGTACACAAAATACTCAACTGGATGAAAACAAAACATAAACACAAATCAATGACCGGAATTGAAATTACAAGAAGATATCAATTCTACCATGTCTGCGTTAATTTCTGTCAGCTGATGATGATAGTGGAACTTGGAAGTCAAGGCTAGGTGTTCAGTGGAACATCCAAATCGTTTGAGATAGAATTTCTCTGATCCATCAAGCACGGTGGTGAGATTGGAAGTAAGTAACAATTCAAGCAAAGAAGTTCAATTGAAGTGATGGGTTTATGAATTTGACCATATGCATGTTATATGGTCAAAGTTACAAGAGATGATTAGCAGAAGAAGAGGCAAGACCTGACATATCAATCCATGAATAGTATTGGTTATTTTCTGAGACACTCAGTGGTGCTCTTGACAAATTCATAGCTCCACTTTCTTCCATTTTAACTGATGGCATCTGAGAAACCCTAGAATTCGTAGCGATATTTCCAACCAAAGCAGAAGCTGCTTCAATACTTTCATTTTGAAAAGGGTACGAGCCACCCGAAGCTGATTCAAAACCGTTCAAGAAAGGAACCTCCTGCAAGCGCCACTGGTCCATTCCTCCCCCAGCAGCTGCAGAATTACCACCGATTTGAAACCCTATGTGATTGTTCTGTTCGTGAATATCACGCAACCCTAGACCCATGTTTCCAACAGCATAACGGTTCAGGTTGTGAAGGGAAGACATGAAGGGAAGGTTAGGAGGTTGTGGCAACTGGCCACTTAGGTCGTGAGTGGTGGTTCCAGCAGAAGGGATTGAACTTGAGGAACCAGAAAGTGTTTGTTTCTCCGATGATGCAGGAGATTTAGAGCGACTCCTTTTGTTCTTCTTGTTCCTACGACACCCTCCACCCACAGGAACGTTTCTAAGAGCACCCCCTCTTGTCCAATAACGCCTACAAGTCTTGCAGAAGTGGCGTGGTTGAGAGAGGCTATAGTTATTGAAATAGCAAAATTTGGTGTTGGTGGATTCACAACGTGGACACTTGAGAGCTGCTTCTGGAGGTGGTATCTTAGCTAACCTAGCTCGATCTGCCATAGACCCCGGCCTGATTGAACCCACAGAACCTCCCACATGATGCTGTTGTGGAGGTAAAGGTGGAAGAAGCTGAGTGTTATCACTGCCATTTGCTTGAGGATGGTTTGGTTGCTGCAGAACAGATCAAGGGTGAAAAAAAAAACTTAATTATATGATGAAAACAAAATCTGGTATATTCAGGGAGATATTACAGGGAATAGGAATAATTATCTTTTGCAATTATTTTTTTCACTTTCTTTTTAGGGTTCAGAAGCTGTGGCTGAAATTTGAGGAAAACCTTACCTGCTGCCAATTGGGGGGATCTACAAAGACTGGAATAGAGGAGAAAACCATGGTGTTCGAATGCTTTTATGTTTTTCTTTTATAAAGTTTGATGGCTCTTTAGGGAGATGGTGGAGAATCACACCAAGGGAATACCAGAGAGGAAAGAAAGGGGGAAAAAAGCATTAAAGAGGAGGAGGGTGGAGGAAAGCAAGCATGAAGAAGCTTTAATTTCTTTACTTTGCACTTATTCCCTCATTCTCATCTCTTTTTGTTTTATTTAATTTTAGGGTTTTGAGTGGACGAAGTTTCTTAGCCTATAAGCTTCTTTTTGTAATGGGTTGGTCTATAAATTTGTTCATCAAAAATGGGTAGTGGCTCCCATGCATGGAAGACAAATTTTAAAAAGAAAATTAGTATATGATTATACTGTACATATGCGTATGTGTGTCAACTAGTCAAAAATACATTTTATTAAACAAAGTTATTTTATTAAATGAACTTTTGAACTGGTGAAATATATTTTCAACTAGCTGGTTCTAAACAGTAAACACACTCCTTAGACGCAGCTCATTGATTAAAAATTTCGTCCACTAAATATTTTCTTCTTAAATGTCCAGTAGACGTAAAGCATTTAAATAATTGTCCTTCTTTAATTTGTAAAGGTGAACTTATTATCACTTTAGAGTGAAAACAATCACTTAGCTCATTATATATATAAAAAAAAAAATGAATGAAAACGATATATGTTGACCATTGATATCTATCTATTTATATAATTTAAGATTCAACTCCATCTATGCCACAAATACATTAAAAATTTATTTTGAACAGGATTTTGTTGTGGATATAAGGGAAACACGATCATTAGAGTTGTGCTTTACGGATCCACTCTTATATAGGGTTTAGGAAAGGAGCTTGAAAAAACAAAATTAAGTGTCAAATGTCATGCTAAGTTTGCAAGCATTTCTTTAAAGTTAGATGCACGGAAAAAAAAAAAGAAAAGGAAATTTATACGGCAAACCAAGTAAGTATACTAATCTTCAATTCCTTGATTAAAAACAAATTTAAATGATTGGTATTTTCTTTTAAAATAAATATATAATATTGGTTTTTCAAAAAGAAAAATAGCAAAGCATATTATCTTAGGCAATTACAAAATTTTACGAACATTGGTCACCGAATTGCGTGAATCAACTTAGATAAAATAAAAAGACACTTGTGATTTTGTTAAAAAAAACTATAAATATTACATTTTCTTTTGATAAATTAAAGTGAATATATATATTAAAAGTTGAGTACAAGAGATACTGTTGAGATTTCCGTTGAAGTGCTTTTGTTAATATTTGTAGAATAGAGAAATAACTACTAAGCGTGTGTTTGCTTCTGATTTTGGACGTGAAAATTCACGTTTACAGGAAGCAAAAAATTCAAGCTTCCACGTAAATTTGATTGTAAACGTGGAGAGAGAAAGAAAAATCACGTTCATAAATCAAAACCAAACACGCACTAAATAAATCTATGAAGTTCAGTCAGTTCCAACAACATCCAAGATACCTATCAGCTTCCTCACTAAGATTTGCAATGATTTGGACAGGAATTTAAGCTTATTTATATGTTTCCCCTTTGTTTCTAGGCTTCTTGGATATGAAGGTGTAGAAGTCATAAATCCAGAAGGGGGTAAAGATGATGCGGAGGAGGAAGCTCAGAGAGGAAGATGGAAACAGGAGGTAAATATTTAATTTGTTTATTTTTTGTAAAGGTTCTTAAATTTCAGGCAATTGTTCTAGTTCCAACTCCCTGTTTGGACATTTAAATTGCTCTCGGAAGTTACCACTCCCTTAAGTTAAATTGTTTGTGTTGTTTTTTAGTTTTATTGACTGTTAATGATAATGATGCTGATATATTTTTTGGTTTTATCTTTATTTATTTCATTTTTCTCTTCTCTGGCATATGCCTCATACATACTACTAATATTCTGAACATCATTTTCTCTTTTTTCTCCCTTTGGCTCATGTATATAAAGGAAAGAGATGGTTACTGGAAGATGATGCATAAATATATTGGCTCGGATGTAACATCAATGGTGACCCTACCTGTTATTATCTTTGAACCAATGACTATGCTTCAGAAAATGGCCGAGGTGTTAACTTTTAGTTTTGCCATCGTTGATGATTCCTTATTTTGTAGTGTCAAATGACAATTGATTGAATTTTAAATTGCTCGAACTAGTTGATGGAGTACTCCCACTTGTTAGATCTGGCGGATGAATCAGAGGATCCATACATGCGATTAGTTTATGCATGTGAGTTATTTTCTCCCCTTGTATTTTCTCTTCTAACTTTTTTCTCCCAATCAAATTGAAAAGTCATCCTGAGGATTTAGTTTTAGATAGGACTGAATGGTAAACTATTAACATTATTACTAGTTTTGATCAAAGATTTGTATTACTGACCTCAAATACCTTTATCTGAGGCATGTTGAAGTAGTTTTTGTTCATCCTGTTGCATTGAAGTAAGTATAGGCACATGTTTTCTTGATTATTTTTTATTGCTGTACTTATGTAATCATCACAGCGTCATGGGCTATATCGGTGTACTTTGCATACCAACGAACTTGGAAGCCTTTTAATCCTATCCTTGGAGAGACATATGAAATGGTTAACCATGGTGGAATTACATTTCTTGCAGAACAGGTATCATTCAAGTATACGACTCTCATGGAAATCCTATGATGCATGATGTTCTATATATCTTTCTCTCTCCGTGTGTGTCTTTGAAATAGTGTTCTTTCTTATGTAGACTAGCATTTGGAAGAAATGTTAATTTCTTCTCCACCTTTCTATTTTTTATTTATTTTTTTATGTGACTTAGGTCGCAACAAAGTATAAGGATTCTTTTAGTTTTCTCTCTTTGTATATTAAAAAAATTATTTTAAATTTCAGGTGAGTCATCATCCCCCAATGAGTGCTGGGCATGCTGAGAATGAGCATTTTACATATGATGTGACTTCAAAGTTGAAAACTAAGTTTTTGGGAAATTCTGTTGATGTTTAGGAACATCAAATTGCAAGCAACATGCTATCTCACCATCTAATGAAACTATGAAAGTAAAGTAAGCTCCATGATGATGCACAAAATTGTTCAAACCAACATTCATTGCAGGAATGAAAACCGTGGTATGGTCCGTATGGAGTAAAGAGCTACAAAGCACAAATCGATGGAGCAAAGTTTCTGTCCGCCAGTCATTTTAATCACATAAGAACCACCTCATCCAATGCAATCCAATGTGTATTTATGTTATCAAATACAAACACATTTTCCCTTGAAATAGCATTGCAATGCAATTACACGCGTTTGCTTCATTGAATCAATTCTAGTGTTGTAAGAATGCAATGTCGTACCAACAAGTCGTTGATCCAAGTGTTAATAGACTTGATTCTTTTAAACAAGATATTGGGTTCGGGTTTTGTATATAAAAAAAATACAGTTAGAAAGAGAGACCCAAGATAGCTGACAAAAATTAGCAATGACCGAAGCAGGTGATACTTGATAACATCTTTATCCAAAAGAAAAAGGAAAAAGAATGCAATGTCGTACGTGGCTAGTATCTACAATTCAGGTGATCAACAGGGGAACATTTTCATACCAGGAATGCAATCATCAAACGGAGCAAATATGGGTACACAAACAACGCATATGAATTAGGAACATCAAATTGCAAGCAACATGCTATCTCACCATCTAATGAAACTATGAAAGTAAAGTAAGCTCCATGATGATGCACAAAATTGTTCAAACCAACATTCATTGCAGGAATGAAAACCGTGGTATAAAAAAATACTACAAGAAATGTTACATATAGTGACATACAAAAAATGTCACTGTAGGTACAAATATTTTGCATATAGTTACATATGATTTTAGTGTTGATTTTGAATGAGATTTAATAACATATTTTATGTGTCACTATAGCCTATACCCACATTTTTTAATAATATACTAACATATATTATAATTATTATATAGGTAAAAATAATTTTTAGTAACATATATAATATCACTATAGAGTGTATATCACACTATATGACAAATTTCTTGTAGTGAAAATATTACACAGATTCAACATATACAAATCAAATACAGTCCTCTAAATAACTTTAAACCAAGGACCGAACAACTAAATCAAAGCGGTATGTCAGTAAAGAGAACAGATAGCAACTACAATTAATAAATAGTCCTAATGCATCTAACAAGACAATAATAAGACCAATCCAAAACCAAAATTTAACTTTATCTAAGTGTAGCAATTTCATCAGATCAAAGGGATAGACATAGACATCACAAACATGGTATAGCTTTGATGCAACAGTAATTTTTGTAAATAATATAATTAGTTTGTATTTGTAGTAATAATTAAATTTTACTCATTCATATAATTTTGATTTATGTCATACAAAAATATATGAAAGGTAACGCCGTAACGATGTTGATACGTTGTGCTTTATAAGTTTAGATCTCAGTGTTAATATTGTACACATGCACTTAAGATGAAAAAAAAAAAAAAAAAAACTGGTACATAAATATATAATGTCTATCTTAAACGCGGATGATTCTAACTTTTTAAAGGTTAAAGTTTGGTGGTGTTGGAATCTAATTCCCTATCTGTTTTGACAGGTTCCTGCTTTTTTGCTCATTTTCATGTCAAAAAGCTTCTCTCTCTGTCTGATGTGTGTGAGTTTGTTGAGGCCACGCATAAAGGAGAGAGAAATTGTGATAGAAACTACAAAGGGAGCCATGCACGTGCATGAGTAATACAGATCACAAAAGAAGATTAGAGTGGGATCTGGTTAGCTCCATTGCATGACTAAATCCATCACACTCCTAAGGACTCAAGTGGGGCGTCAAAAGGCAAACCATAAACAAAGTCCAACATAGTAGGCAGATCGATAGTTGAGTTCTCAAGACACAAGTTTGATTTTTGAATTGTATATGTAAAAAATAATAATAATAATAATAATAATAATAATAATAATAATAATGAAATAAAATAAAATAAAAATGTTAAAAAAGAAAAAACTCACCTCAATAATATCTGTATGTTAAAAGAATATAACTTCTCATATGGGTGTGGAGAAAATCTTGGTTAAAATAAAAAAGCAAAGCAAAGATCGGAAAGGAAAGGGACTGGCGTCCATGTATGTGGCAGACTTTGTGGTTTCAAGGTCGCAATTCATATAATATATAATTGCACATGCGATCATGATGATAGTTAATTAGATTATCATAACATACCTATTTAATTTTAGGAAATTAATATAATTGATTTAGTGGGAGGGGAGGAAGGGCAGATGAAATGCAAACAAAAGTTTTATCGTGACTTTATTTATGATCATGTAATTAAGCTCCTAAAAATTGGAATAACTCACTAATCCTTTGGATGAATTACCTTCTTTTTCTCTTAAATCACATTTCTCCATATTTGTATAATCTTGGTTATCATAAAACTTGTGGAGAGAAAACTTCCCACACATCATGGTTTAGGATGACATTAATAAATTCCCTCGCAAAGAAATGTTTTATGTAAGAATCTATTAATTAAGGATTTCTTTGTGGAGTATTTTGGTACACATTTTCATATCTGGCATACCTAGTATGTTTACACCAGGTCAGATCCCTTTGAGTACAGATTCATATCATGTACTAATAGTATGTATCAAATATGAAATCCAATAAAACAAAAAATAAAGTTTAAATATTCATTTAGTACATATAGTTTTATAAATTTTATTTTTAATTCTAATGGTTAAAAGCATTTTAATTTAGTTTCTATACATGCCAAAAAAATTTATTTTAATCCCTAACATATATTTGTTATATATAGGGAATAAAAGTAATGTTTATGACATTATAGGTATTAAACAAAAATAAGAATGATATGTATAGGATTAAAATAAAATAATTTTAATTATAGAGATTAAAAAGTAAAATCAAAAAAGTTATAGGGATTAAATAAGTATTTAAACAAAAAAAATTAATAAAACCCTATGTTACCTTAACAAATGATATAAAAAAGGAAATTTTGAAAATCATTTTAAGGTTAACAAGGAAATTAGATATAAGAAGCTAGAAGATGACATTTTAAAAATTGCTATTTAAAGTAGAGACTCAAATAGCACTACAAGCTACTTGAACAAAAGTTTATTTGCCAAACACGATTAATAAGGTCAAATAAGTTTTTTAGCTAGAAAAAAAAAGGCTAGAAACTAGCTAAAGGTGTTTGTCAAACATATACTATATATAAAAAAACAAAACTTTTATTCCACTATATAGGTGATCTAGAATTTCTATATTAAAAAAAAAAGTTTAAAGGAATTTAATTGTCAATAGAAAATATTTTATTAGATCAACCAATTATAAAAAAAATTTATGTGTGAATTTTATTAAGGTAGTTATACAATAGTTTGTGATCGAAAAAAAGTATAAAAGACAGTTACACCGTTATATTTATTATTTATTCAAAAAGAAATGTGCTCTCAAAAAAATACAATTAAATGTGCTCCTAAGTTGATTGATGCTTAGCAAGAGTATAAAATCATTTTTCTTGATATCGAAAGTTGTAAATTTATTATATTTTTTCTCTTTTCTTAATTTTTTTATGAGTTATCAATTTATTCTTCCTTTTTCTCTTGATTTTTCTTCAGAGAAATGAGTTGAAGGAACTAAACCAGTTATCACCTACTAATAAATAAATAAATAAATAAAAACTCTGTAGTAAAAACTGATTAATAAAAAATTAAAAAGTTATGTCCTGTACAGCCCAAAATGGACCCTCCGGTGCAGTACTGCTGAAGTTTTACTCCTTTATTCTCTTCGTATTCCCTTTTCTTTCTTTCAGAAGATAATTTCTGAAGTTATTTTGTGCATTATAAAAACTGATATTTTTTTCTAAGATACCAAAGAAAAAGAGAAAAAGAGAAAAGAGAAAAAAGGAAAATGCAAATAGAATTATCCATATTCCTAAATTCAATGACGATGACAAGCTCATAAGTTGGTAACGACTTGATCAATATACGAACGAGTGATTATTGTTCAAACGATTTGCGAGCCCACTTCAAACAAATTTATGGGCCATGGACTACACCTGTACGGTTTACGAAACCAATTTTATTGACACCATTATACCCAGCCCGTACGGAATAGGGTACACACAGAATATATATATGGAGCCAGAGGGACCCGAGTTACAAGTAGTTTTGTAATGAACTATAAAATTGTCAATTAAACTCTTAAAATAAAGAAATACATTTTTAAATTTTCTTTTTATTTCGTGGTTTAGGTTTTGTTCAATAATTTTTTTAGTTAAAGAAAATTCTAATATAATTATCATATAACTCATTTTTTATTTTTTGAAAAATAAAAATAATAAATAAATAGAAACTGTATATTACATGTCATATTTAGAAAATAGAAACAGTTTTTCATCCAATTTATTCTTATAAATTGTTGCTTCTTTTTCAGAAAAGTCAATTAATTGCTTTGAATTTCGACACAATGTATTGATTTTTTTAATATTATTTTTATATAAACAGTTATTTTAAATATTTTTTTTATTTTCTGATAATCTTGTAACTTTGAAACAGTTTCCGAAAATATATATCCGTCGAGACTGAAATACATTTTATAATATATAAATCAATAAGATTTTTGTGGTTATGTATACATATACATATATTGATATATAGTTAGTCGTAAAATTTATTTTCCTTCCAAATTTTTTTGGTAATACACATGGTCAAATTAGTCAAATTAATTTCCAACTAATTAACATTTATTACGGTGCTAGCTACTTACTTATCTTTAGCTGTTGTTTATTTTGTTTCCTTATTTTTAGCTCTGTTGCTTCCTTTCTGTTTTTAAGTTTCAAGTATATATGTAACCCTTGGCTGGTTCCTCAATTAATAAGATTAATTTTCTATTCATTCAGATTTCAATTGTCAATTTATTATGGTATCAGAGCTCTCTTAGAGAGAGCTCTGCTGCGCGCATCAATGGCT